CTGGCTGCAGGAGCTCATCCCCGCACTGAGCCAGGAGGCGGCCGGAGTGCTCAGTCAGCTGGAGGACCTACAGCCAGGGGATTACAACCGAGTCAAGGAGGCCCTGCTGCACAAGTTCGGGCTGACCCCCGAGATGTACAGGAAGAAGTTCCGGGGGGTACAGAAAGGGCCACGGGAGACCTATGTGGACCTGGCCTCCCGCCTGGCGCAATACTGCCGCAAGTGGGTGTCTGGAGTCGGAGCCCAGACCGCAGAGGAGCTGCTCAAGCTGGTCATGATGGAGCAGTTCTATGAAGCGTGCCCACCCAAACTGAGGCTGTGGCTCAAGGACCGGAGACCAGAGACCCCCCAGGAGGCTGGGAGGCTGGCGGATGAGTTCACGGAGAGCCGGTCCGGGTGTGAACGGGAGTCCCGGAGAGAAAGGGAACCGTGCAGAGACCGGATCTCAGCTGAGCGATGGAGTCAACTACGGGGCGAGACCAAGGAACAGGTCGTCTGTACCCCAGAGAACCAGCCAGGTGCCCCCACTACGTCACATCCTTCCACTCTGAAACTTGCACTCGAGGTTCAGTTTACCATTCTTGTTAAGTGACACCAGTTTAATGTTTTCGCTGGGTTGGGCTCGTAGCTCGTTTTTGTTCCTTTGCCTCTTCCTTGTCTGTAGGACACTCATAGAATCACAGAATCATAGAACTGTATCGCTGCGCCAGACACACAGCGAAGCGAAACCTGTCTGAGCCCGCACAGAAACCACCAGTCCCGCACGTTCGGTGTCTCTCGCAGCCAGTGCCCGGCCCGTGTCCCGTCCGCCCCTCCTCGCCCAGCGTCCCCCAGTGACTCAGACACACCGAGGCCGAGAGCGGAACCCGGGAGCCCTGAGCCCCAGGGCTCGGCTCTGCCCACGGGCCGGACACTGCGCTGGGAGCCGGGTGAGGCCCCACTGATATTCCTCCGGAGGGGGGGCAGAGGACAGATGCAGCTCCCAGTGGTGCCTGGCCCAGTGTGTCTGCTCTTCCCACCATTTCCGCCAACTCATTCTTGAACAGTGTGACTGCAAGTTGTGGGGTTCCCCTGATCATGCAGCCCCATAGCAGCAAGAAGAGACTCGCCAGCCAGTAGCGTAGAGTGGTTTGATTGCTTCTCCTAGATACAGCACAGCCTAGACCAGAGGTGCCTACAGGAGTCTGGACCAGGATGCCGACAGGGTCCAGAGCCCCGTTCTCATGTGGCCACTGTCTTCCTGCTGCAGCTACCCCCAGTGCCGCTGCTCCCTGTGCTCGCTGCCCCCAGTGGTGAGTCTGAAGGATGGTGTCCGTCCTCTCTGGGCCCGTTCCTTGCCATGTTTTGGGAAACTATCGGGTTTCAGTCACTTTCCGTTTTCCTGCCACAACCAAACCCTGACCTCAGTTTAAGCGAGATTCCGAGAGAGCATTTGGTGGCCCGGCTCTAATGGCTTAGCAGGAGTTCTTGAACACAGAGTCACGTGCCTATGGACTCACAAACAGACACTCTACACACCTCTCCACACCACGGTCTGCCTTGTGTCCCACAATATACTGTCCCAAAGCTCTGCGTGAAACACAAATTCAGTCTACACGTGGGCTTGTATAACCCGGCCTGACATGGGGCTCCTGTGAAAGAGAAATAATATAAGGGACAGCTGAGGCATGGAAAGGTGAAGTGGGTACAGAAAGAGTCTGAAAAGCCAGCACGCGGGGTGTGGGTCGGTGTGTTCTCGGTACACAAAGGCACACACAGACAGAAAATGAGAAGCTCTCACTACCTCCAGTAGGGGGCAGCACACGGACAGAAAGAGACATGTCGAACTAGGCTAAGCTCCTTCCACCGGGACCGTCAGTGACCGACACAAGCACCCGCCCCACACACGCCTACCCATACACAAAGCAATTCCCGTCTCCTCCGGCAGGGGGCAGGAACTGTCTGCGAGAACTCGCTGCTGGCTCGCGGCCCGGCGTCCCGCAATCCCCCGGGGGAACCCGCTCTTGGTGCCGGGCGGGGAGTCAGATGAAGCGGTTCTAATGGTCCCTGAGAAAGGGACAGAATCGAAAAGGTCCCTTCTAGGTTTCCCTTCGCACTCCCCGGGTGCAGCCAAAGCTCTTCAGGGCATAAACCCCAAAGCGGCAACTCAACCAGCGCCCCCCCCCCCCCCCCCCCCCC